CAGGGCCTGAGAGAGGGGAGCCAGAGGGTTTGCACTTGTATTTTTTCCCAACGAAGGTTCCTCCCTTAATGCTCTGTGTGGGTTTATCTTGCAGCCAAACCCATCCACCAGCACCAGGAAGACCAGTGCTTGAGGTTGAAGGTGACTGTCAATGGCAAAATCAGTGAGTGTCAGAGCCCTGTGGGCCTCCTTCCATCTGTTTGTGGGGCCTGGGCTAGTGACCTGGGATGGCAGGGAAGTCCCACCTGCCTGCCTCTCCAGGACAGTCCCTGATCGGCCACCGCCCTTGCCTTTCAGCTCACAGTCCTCAGGCCCATGCCAATCCACAGGAGAAGAGACTTCCGGCAGGTAGGTAGCCAGAGCAAATTGGGCCTGGGTTCTGCTTACCGAGGTTGGGTACAGAAGGTGGCTTCTTTGCCAGGTGGGGGCTGAGGAAACCTCATGGAGCTGAGGGCCAGTGCCAGCAATAGGGCCACTCACGTTGGGGGTGCTTGCCCTCTCATCTTGCAGATGACCCAGAGGTACAGGTTCTTCATAGCATCGGTCACAGTGCTGCCCCCCGCCTCTTCCCACTTGCCTGGGCTGTGCTGCTGCTGCCATTCCTGCTGCTGCAGACCCCATGAAGGGCTGTGTGCCACATCCAGCCTGAGGACCGGACCGGGGCTGAGGAGGCGGGGCAGGGCATCCCTCACCTGTCTTGGGAGCCGTTCCCACCACATGCACAAGCTGCCATTCAGCAGCCTCAAAACGGGTCAGGATTAAGGGTTTCAACCCAAAGGAGGTCAGCAAGCCTGGCAGTACCATCCCTTCCTCCACCCCGAGGGACAAAGAAGTGGGGACAGTCCTTTCCCCGCCATTCCTGCCCTTAAGCCAAAGAAACAAGCTGTGCAGACGTGGCCTCTTAAGAAGGGCACCGTGGGAGACAAACTGGAAGGGGCCTGGGGTCATGCAGATGGACACTGAGCTTGGCAGAGATACCCCTCCTGAGAGAGCCAGGATGCCCAGGTGAACTGACCGGCAGAAAAGCAGGAGACAGTTCCATGCTTGGGAGCCAGAGACCAGGAGAGGCGGCATGCTTGGGCTGACCCAGCATCTCTCCCAAGGCTTCCAGAAGTCTTTGGAGCTGCCATGGAGAGGTTTGTAGCCAGGCACCGCATCCTGTCCCATCTGGGGCAGCACTGCCCAGAGCGGTGCCCACAGGGGGCTGTGCCACCCTGTGCCTGGAGTGTAGCTGCAAGGGCAGGGCCCACGCATACAGGATCTGTATATAAACTTGATGTTTGTCTGCTGATTTCTACAACTGGAGTTTTTTTATACAAAAAAATAAAGCGATGTGTTTCTTTATTTGGACATGCTTGTCTGCCCCCCCAACCCCCATCCCCCATCCTAATTTAGGACCACTGAGTCCCTGCCACGTGCTAGGCTCTGTGGGACACCAGGCAGCAACTGGGTTTAAATTTTCTTCCATCCGGAAAGAATACACGCCCCTCACTAGCACCAAAGGGTGGGGTGCTTCCTCCTCTGTGCGCCGCACAGCGGTCTCGAGGGCTCCAGGCTGCACCCCACTCCCGCATTGCGGGGCCTTTGGCAAACCGTCCGGTTGCTCCTGCTGTTGGGTGCATGAGGGGAATACCAGCCGAGGCACGTCAGGCCACCTGGTCCCACAGCCCCGGCAGCCGGGGCAGCCGGGGCGTGCGGGCTGTGGGCTGTGCGAGGCCGCAGGGAGAGTCCCCAGCAGCAGGTCCTGTCGGTTGGACTAGGGCGTCAGTGATAGGTGCTCCAGCACCCAAAGTTGGCAGTGTGGCTGAAGGCGGACGGCGCCTGACAGACTGGTGATTCCCGGCAAGCCCACTTATTTAGGGGAGACACTGGGAAGAGGCTTCAGCAAACAGGGGAAAAGCCTGGGCAGGTGAGGTTGCGATCGGGGGCTCCGGGGCGGGAAGTGTCCAGCAATTAAGGTCGGCCACGACGGCTCAAGGGCAAGAGACTTGAGGCTGGAGTCCGGGTGAGACAAGGGGTAAGCAGAGAGTGAGGAGCGGCGGGTGCCCGGGGTCGGTCCGCGGAGCCCGGGCTTGGTACCCGCCAGGACCTGGAGGGGCCCCACCGTACCAGGCCTCCTGCGCGCGCCGACCCGCAAGGGTGGGGCACGGTGATCGGGAGGCGGGACCTGGTTCCGGCAGGGCGCCCGTGTGGGCGGGGCTGCGGGTCCATTTCCGGCGGACGGCGGCGCGCCGAGGGGGCGGGGCTCCGGCGCGGGGGCGGGGCTCCGGCGGCGCGGGCTCTGGCCCTGCAGGAGGACGCCGGCGCGGGGCCCAGGATCGGTCGCAGGGGGAGATGGAGGCTGGTGGCGTGGCCGACTCGCTCCTATCAGGAGCTTGCGTGCTCTTCACCCTCGCCATGTACTCCACCGGCCTGTGAGAGCGCGGCCGGGCTAGGCTGGGGCAGGACCTGGAAGTCAGGAAGGGAGACAGAGGGAACAGAGACGTGGCCGCAGCTCCAGGCTGCATCCGAAACCTGGGTCAAAGTGGATTCGGGTCGAGGGATCCGGGGCACAAGGGCGAGGCTGGGCACTTGAGGGACAGGCCAGAGAGCTGAGGGGGGTGCCGGGACCTGCAGTTGTCCGGGGACGATCACAGGCATCAGGGATCTCGACTCCCCAGCAGCCCAGTTCTCCCTTCCCATCCCTCACCTCTGCTTTCGGGGCCCGTTACAGCTCGGACCTCAGGCAAATGCGGATGACCCGGAGCGTGGACAGTGTCCAGTTCCTGCCCTTTCTCACCACGGACATCAAGTGAGAGGGGCGACGTTTGCGGCGGGAAAGGTTGAGGGAGGTGGGGAGGGGGGAGGAGGAACGCTGAAGAGGCCCCTTGGGTCCCCTTCCCATCCTCATCCCCGTGGTGAACGCGACCCTCCTGTCCACCCTGCAGCAACCTGAGCTGGATGAGTTACGGGGCCTTGAAGGGTGACGGGACCCTAATCTTTGTCAACGCCACGGGTGCTGTGCTTCAGACCCTGTATATCTTGGTGTATCTGCACTACTGCCCTCGGAAGGTAGAGGCCCTCCCTTGGACCCACGTCTGCTGCTCGCCCTGCCATGCTGGCAGAGTAAACACTGCTTCCTAGAAGATTATGATAGGCTGGCATTGCCACCTTTTCCTGGAAGGCCCCCCAGCCTTGCAGTCCTCCTTCCTCCATGAAGCCAGCCTTTGAGACTCACAGATTGAGCACCCGGCCCCCCATTTCTGGCAAGCTGGTAGTTCTGCCTAGCCTGATAGTGCCTTGCTGCCCAACAAGCTGAGGGGAATGGGCTTTTGTCTCTGATAGTTCCTTCGGAGTCAGGGCCAGTGCCTGAGAAATGAGATGATTAGCTGTGCTTCCCCAATCCTACCAGCATTTAAGTGCCTACCGTGTGTACCAAGTTCACACCAAAAACAAAAGTAAAACCCTTCTCCTGTCCTAGAAACCTCTAGTGTTGTGGGTGGATCGGACATGTGTTTGTCACTGGTGGGAAAGAGGCTGCAGCAACTGCTATACTGGAGGCTTAGCCCAAGGTCAGCTCCCCCACTGAAGCAGGGGAGTCCGAGAGGGCTCCTGAAACATCTAGAAGTAAGGCTACTCTCTCCCCTGCAGCGTCCGGTGCTCCTTCAGACTGCAGCCCTGCTGGGGGTCTTTCTCCTGGGTTTTGGCTACTTTTGGCTCCTGGTGCCCAACCTTGAAGCCCGGCTTCAGCAGCTGGGCCTCTTCTGCAGTGTCTTCACCATCAGCATGTACCTCTCACCACTGGCTGACTTGGTGAGTGGGAGTCATCCAGGGAAGTGGGGGAGATAAGAAGGGTCAGGGTCCCATAGCCAGAGACTGTATGTAGCTTACACGCCAAAGGAAGATCCTGGAAGACAGGGCAGTAGAGGTGGGTGAGTGGGAGGCAAGAGGACAAGGCTGGGTAACGGAAGGTCAGGGAGGATGTTTGACCTTTTTTCTGAGGAAATTCTTAGACAAGTGGGAGCTCTAGGATGTGTCTGGGATAGGGGTCTTTCATCCTTTTTCCGTAGGCCAAGATCATTCAGACGAGATCAACCCAGCGTCTCTCCTTCCCACTCACCATTGCCACCCTCCTCACCTCTGCCTCCTGGACCCTGTATGGGTTTCGGCTAGGGGATCCCTACATCATGGTAAGCCCAACGGGGAGGGATGGCTGACAGGTGTGTAAGGTGGAAAACGAGCTCCTCTCCTCACAGCAGCCCTTGTGACTTCAGGTGCCCAACCTACCAGGGATCCTCACCAGCTTCATTCGCCTCTGGCTCTTCTGGAAGTACTCCCAGGAGCAAGACAGGAACTATCCACTCTTGCAAACCTGAGGCAGTTCACCTGACCACTGGGCACCTAATGCCAACCTGCTACCAAAGAGAGCTCCTGGTCGCAGCTGTTTCTGCTGACCAGCTCCAGGAGTGCAGTGGCTTGTGGAAAAGAAAGATAACTCTGAGAATCGAGGGACCAAAGAAAGCGTTTTGCTTGGAAGATTGACTGGGACTTGGGAGATGAATCACTTATTTTTTAAAGATTCTATTTTTTAATTGTGGAGGTTGTGGTGAAATCCTTAGAATGTGCCTTAAAATAAATTGTTCCTTACCCCTGCCCATAAAAGCTTAGTCTCTATCTATAGGTGATTCTCAACCGGCCTGCTCTGGCGGCGCACTGCCCGATTCACAGTTGTTCCCGGGCTGGGGCTGGCTCAGAGGAGGTACCGGAAGGAACCACGAAGTCGGAAAGACCTAGGAAGGCCTTCAAAGAACAGAGCCTGGGTATTACGAAGAACAGAAGTTAAGACTTCAAGAAATCCGTCCTGAGGGGGTTAAAAGGACCAAGAAATGAAATGACATTTCCATCTCGAGAGATCTTGAGAAGGGGTCTTTGCCTCCTTTGGAGCAAAAAGGAGACGGGGCACAAGGGTGCAAAGATAAAAGCTGAGATGACCTCAGGAAGGTGGCTCGCGCCCACCCGCATCCCCGCTTCCCCACAGCTGGTACACAGAATCCCCAGTCCCCATTCTCCATAAACTAAACAAAGTTAGAAAATAAGCTTCTCTTTAATGGGCGGCGGGAGGAAAGGCTGTCCGGTGGGAACGCGGCTGGGTGTCAGAAGCGCAGCCCCCTGCGGGCCAAGTCGGCTCGGGCCTCCTGGATCTGGCTCTGCAGCTCGCGGGCGGCGTCCTCACAGTCGTGGAAAGTGGCCACGCGATAGCCCACAGTGCCCAGGGCATAGCAGCCGGCGGACACCAGCAAGTAGGCCGGCAGTGGCCACAGCACCTCCCGGCATGACGAGGGCAGCTCCAGGCCCAGGGCTCCCGTGGTCAGAGCCGCCCAGGTGGAGCCCAGGAGCGCCAGTCCCCAAAGCCACTGCGCTAACTTCGTCATGGGCACTGCGGGGAGAGAAAGCAGAGCTCGCGGCCCCTTCCGCCCCGCTACCCCCTCTCCATCGGAGGCCAGTTCTCTGTCCCCCCCTCACCCACCCGCCGTATCACCTACCCTCAGGGCCGCTCCGCCGCCGCTCTCGCCCAGCTCGCCCCTCCCGCTTTCGGCCCGCAGCCTGCACTCCCCTCCGCCGCCTTCTCCCCTGCCCCGCGCGGCTCCGACGTCAGCGTCCCGAAGGTCTCTCGGCTCGCGCGGCTTTCTGGGAGTTGTAGTCCTCGCGGCCGCGTCGCGCTCTGCCTCGCGCGGCCTTCTGGGAGTTGTAGTCCCCGCGGTCGCTCCCGGGGGAGTGGCGGCGGCCACCTGCGTCCAGGCTGCATTCGCAGAGCCTCCGACTGCGGCCCGAGTGCCCGGGGGCTCCGGTGCAGCGCTGTCCGTCAGGACCCCGCTCCACGCTGGCTGGAGTCCTGCTGAGGACACCCTCAAACTTTGCGAGAAGATGGGAATGTAATCTGCGCCCCCCTAGACTTCATTCGCGTATTCTTTCCTTCGCTGCGACGTTGCCTGGTCACCGTCATGGCCTTCGGAGAAATGCGGCGGTGCAGACCCTCGGCCCCAAAGCCGAGGCCTTGACCACTGACTGTGACGCCTCGAGATAGCTGTTAGAACAGAGGTTGTCACCCTTTAATAAAGACCCGCCGCGGAGCAACGGTGCAGCTTGGAGCCCGAGGAAGAGGGGCTCCGGGAGGGGTCTTCAAGGAAAGAAAAGTGAGTTTAAGGTATTGAGAGAGGAGTTTTAGGGATGAATTCACGGTAGGTACGTGGAAAACCAAGTAAGAGAAAAGTCGGGCAATTACCAACATCAGGGAAAAGACTCACAAAGAAAGGGCACGGACAAGAGCCTGCCTGGCATGGGTCTCCCTGGACATCACTGCCGCTGACCAGCATGCCGCTGCGAGAGAGCACACCCCAGGGGAACCGCGGGCCACTCCCCGTACAGGGGAGACAGGGTCCTTACAGGAGGTGGGGAAGGATGTGTTTGACACGTTCAAGCTAAGTGGGAGTGTAAGTGAAGGCATCAGCAAGCCTGGGCTGAGAAGTGGACTAGGGTCCACTTGGTAACTACAAAATTAAGATAATTAATTTTAGAGAATTATGTAATAGATAACTACTTAATTAAGATAAATATAGAGTGCTGCGTCCAGACGCCTCCACTTGAAGCTTTGCAGGAGGTTGGAAATGGAGGCTGCTTCTCTGTGTCGAAGTAACCTGCCTGGCTCAGACCCCCAGGCCAGAGCGGGATGTTCAGTTCTCACCGATTGATTTCAAATCGCAAAGTGAGTGCCTGCACGATTTTAGAGAAGGAAGTTTCTCAGTCTCATGTCCTTGATGTTAATTAACAAAAGCAGTTTTTACAGATTCACATAGTCTTAGTAAGGACATTACATAACTCAGCTGTGAAGACTATTTTCACAGCCCTAATAATGTAAGCACTGATACTGAGTTAAGTAAATATTGGGATGTATTTGAATTGAGTGGGTGGGGGAGGGAAGGCTATGAAGAGCATCATGGATAAAGAGAACCATAGCCTCATCTTCCATGGCAGGTGGTCAATTAATTATATCTAAAATGGAAGAAATGAGGGGCGCCTGGGTGGCTCAGTAGTTAGGCGTCTGCCTTCAGCTCAGGTCATGATCCCAGGGTCCTGGGATCGAGCCCCGCATCCGGCTCCCTGTTCGGTGGGAAGCCTGCTTCTCCCTCTCCCACTCCCCCTGCTTGTGTTCCCTCTCTAGCTGTCTCTCTCTCTGTGTCAAATAAATAAATAAAATCTTTAAAAAATAAAAATAAAAAATAATAAAATGGAAGAAATGAAATTAATATGAGCACATTACTAAGAAATATGAAGTGTACCAAGGAAGCAACTAAGAATCCCAGGAGGGGCTTACAGAGCAGTACGTGCGGAGTTAGGAGAACTGGAACAGGGGACTGGTATTTTTCATTAGTGCCTTTGTAAAACTAGTTGGCTTTTTAAACTATGTAAATTCCTTTGTTAAAGTAAAAAGATAAAATAAAAACATTTTTAAAAATTTGCTATATGAGGGGCGCCTGGGTGGCTCACTTGGTTGAGCGTCCAACTCTTGATCCCAGCTCAGGTCTTGATCTCAGGGTCATAAGTTCAAGCCCCATGTGGAGCCTACTTAAAAAAAATTGGGGAGGCACCTGGGTGGCTCAGTCAGTTAAGCATCTGCCTTCGGCTCAGGTCATGATCCCAGGGTCCTGGGATCTGGCTCCCTGTTCAGCGGGGAGCCTGCTTCTTCTCCGTCTGCAGCTCCCCCTTACTTGTGCTCTCTCTATGTCAAATAAATAAGTAAAATCTTTTAAAAAATTTCTTTTTTTGCTATATGAATTTCGAAGCCCCACTCTACTCGCTTCCCCATTCCATCTAAAACCCTACTGGTTGCTCACCCGAGACCTCACTGGTCACAATCACTTCCAAACTTCTAGCACAGTTCAGCGGCTAGGTGTCAGAAATTCTATTTGGTCATCCACAGTAGACCTGGCCCTGAAAGATTACCACTCCCCAGAACAGTTTTTGGGGAAAGATAATGAGAAGGGGCTTGCCCTACAACACATAAAGATAGATAATAAATTATAGCTTTATAATAATAAGCAGCAGAAGAATAAACATTCATTGAAGGGCTATGATGTGTCGTGCCCTATGGGACATTGTCATGTTTAATTTTCACAGAATGCTGCAGTAGGTACTTTTATATAAATGAGGAAGCTAGAACAGACAGATGGTGAATGGCAAGTAACTTGCCCAAGATCCTGCAGTTAGTGAGTAGCAGAGCTATGCCATCCTTCTTGAGGCTTGGCGCTCAATGATTTCACCCTCCTGGTTCCTGGTCCAGGAAGGGGCAGAGAGGGATCATCATGGCAACTGACATTCACTGATTGACTGACTGCCTTGCGCCAGGCACTGTACTGAGCACTTTATGTGCCTGATCTCATTCAGTCTTCACAGCCACCATTTGAAGTGGGTACTATTATCTCCACTTGACAAATGAGAACTCCGAGGCAAACCCCACGTAATGTGACTTCTGCACTTGCCAACTCTGCCCCTCCAGTATAGCACTTCTCTCCCTAGATCAGTGGAACAGAATAAAAAGTGAAGAAATAGATTTTAAAAATATACCAGTTTAGCATATAATAGAGATGGCAACTCAAGCAAGTAAGGGAAGATGGATGCTTTAAAAACCATTTGCAACTAGCTTACCATTTGAAAAAGTAAATTATTACACCTTATTCCAAAATAAAGCGTCCGACGCTTGATCTCAGCTCAGGTCCTGATCTCAGGGTCATGAGCTCAAGCCCCAAGTTGGACTCCACGCTGGGCATGGAGCCTATTACACACACACACGCACAAAGTTTGGGGTTTTAGAGGCTGGTTGTCCTGAGGTTGCGTCCTTGCTCTTTCTTTTCCTTAGCTGTATGAACTTGGGCAAGTAACATAATGTTTGTGGGCCTCAGTTTCCCCGCCTAAATAGTGGAGCCAATAGCGGGTCCTCCCTCCTGGGGTTGCCCTGGAGATGAGAAGAGCTAATGTAGGTAGTATGCTTACAACAGTGTGAGGCATGTGGGAAGCATGCATTGGGAGTTGGTCCCCCTTATTGTTATGCTGTCATTCATCACCTTTTAGGGCTGAGGACGCCCCACAGCACCTCCCCAGCCTTCCCACCATCTTCTGAAGTAAGTTACTTCCGGGGATGGCTCAGCTCATGTTGGTGGGGATTTTCGGCTCTTGCAAGCTTTGGTGTCAGAGAAAGACAAACTCCAAATCTGGAAGCCCTTATTCAACAGTGCACCAAGAATGAGGATGGGGGGATATGCAAAATGAGACACCACACAGAGGAGGGCTGACTTCCAGGGGGAAGGCTTCACAGAGACCCTGAAGCCCCAGCTGATACTGGAAAGATGAGCGAGAGTCATTCAGGTGGGGGGGGGCATGCATGGCCCAGGGAACCCGGAACAAAGCCCAGATGTGGGGAATAATCCTCTGTGGCTGTCTCTTGGACAAAGACTGCTTCGTGGGGGAGGGGCAGGAGATGAGGCTGGAAAAGCAGACCAGGGCCAGGCTACTAGAGACCCCTTGAAAGTATTTGTGCTGTGGTCCCTGAGGTCAGTGTCTTCACCCCTAGAAGAGTGGGTGACCCCCACGTGTCCCTGAGTGTCTGGTGTGAGGCAGTCAAGTGTTCTGGGTGCCTACAGGTGCCAAGGTGATTACTGGGTCCTTGGGGGAGGCCCCACTTAGTCAGGTTGCGTGGCCTCCGTCCCTGTCCCGAGGGCCCCCACAGCTCCACAGAAGCAACAGGACAGACACACATGTAATTAACCAAAACACACCCCACATTATAGCCAGGCTTGAGGGGGACAGAGATCAGAGATGGCGCTGCTGCTCGGACAGAGGAGGGGCTGGGGGCGTCAGGGTTTCCCAGAGAAGGTGAGCCAGAGGAGAAGATGCTAGCCTGAGGGAGGAGGTACCCAGGCACAGCCTGGGCTGCAGAGAGAAATACTTGGCTGATTCTGGGCATTCGGCAGTTTGGAATTGATGCAGGGTGGAAGGTGAGTTTCAGCAAAGAGCTCAAAATGGGACCACGGTGTGTTGCTCAAAGAAGTTGGAGCATATTTAACAAATGTGTGTCGAGCCGTTTTCTAGGGGACAAACCAAACTCCCCACTTTCAATGAAGCATTCCATGAAAAAGGATAAATCTCCTGCTTCAGTGAAGTAAGTGGTGGGAGACAGACAAGAAACAGATCAGTATTTAATGTATCAAGTAATGAGCGGCCCTGGGAGGGTAGGGGCAGAGGGGTGACAGAGGCCTCCCTGAGAGAGGCGTCTGCACGGACACCTGGACGATACCCAGGTCCCGGTGAGCGGCGGCGGCAGCTAAGCTGGGAGCAGCCCGAGCCCAGGAAGTGGGGGAGGTGTAGCCGCACTGGTTCAGCAGCTGTGGCTGACACCAGTGGGTCCGAAGTTCAACTGCAGCCCGGCCTTCACTTATCGAATTGGTGGGTTTTTTTTTTTTAACTTTTAAATAATCTCTACACCCAAATTGGGCTTGAATCCATAACCCCAGGATCAAGGGTCGCACACTCCACTGAGCCAGCCAGACTCCCCTTCGTTATCTAAATCTTGAGCAGCTT